GCGTTGTAGGCATGCGCGCAGCGAGCAATATGAGCCCCCGCCCCTGGTGCCCCGGTCAAAAACCAATGCAAAGTGGTCGCGGGGTTCCCGCGCATGCTCCAGTTTTGGAGGCGAAATGAATTTTGCATTTGATGTGATAGGGAGTTTTGCGCGGCAAGCATTGTGCGGCCCTCCCCGCCGCCCCTGTCAAATGCCAGCGCAAGTGGTGGCGGGCGCCCGCGCGTGTTCCAGATATTGGGAGTTCGCATATTCTGCGCAGTCTTATGACAAGCACGGTGGGGGGGGGAGGGCGGTCGGCATGGGCCCCAGTTGGCTGCCGGTCGCCTAGGGGCGGCTTTGTTTAGTAATAGGGAACAGTGTTCAAGATGTCGGACTCACTCCTGCCCGCCCGCCCTTCCAAGAGCATCCCTGTCAAACAAGATTGCGAAGTGGTCGCATGGGTTCGGATTTGCTGCAGATCGGGCGTGGGAGGTAGTGCTTGCTAATAGGTCGCAGGGATCAGCAGTGATCAAACTATCCCAAGCCGCGGGCCGCGCCTCTCACTCCCGCCCGCCGTCCCGTTGTGCAAATAGCACCCGGGCTTCGGCACGGGCAAGAGCCGCCATTGGGAACCATCGGAAACCAATGCAGGCGCCAGCCAGGTGCGCGATGCCCTCGCTTTGCGTCGCACATGTCAGGTGCGCCACGCGCGCCAGGTGCGCCACATTTGGCAATGGGTCGACCGCCCCACCATCCCTGGCAAACGCCCATGTAAAGTAACGTCCGGTTGGCGAGCATTCTGCAGTGTGTGTGTGTGGGTGGGTGTGCACCCGCAGTCGCTTTGCATTTGTTTTCGACAGGGGTAGTAGGTTTGCAAACATAGGGCAGCGCGCCGCCTTCCCAACAGTTCCTGGCAATGTGATTTTTGTTTTCCAGTCGAAGCGGATGGTGGGTTTGAGCGCAGCAGGCGATTTTCTGCCCCCCGCAGTCCCCGTCAACAGCGAATACAAATTGATCGCGGGACGTTCGCGCATGATCCAAATGTCAGTGCAAGGTGAATTTTGTATGGTTGCCTTTCTGCAAAAGATGGTTGATGGGGCTGGCATCGCACATGGCAGGCAGCATGTCAGCCCCCCCGCCGTCTCTGCCAAAAAACAATGCTAAGCGATTGCGGGGCGTCCGCGCATGATCCAGAGTTTGGTGCAAGTGCATTTTGCGCTTTTTTGTTGCCAGGGATGCGGGGGGGTGTCGTGGGCGCGCGTGCCCAAGTCCCGAACATGGCACTCCCAATGTTTTTGTGCCGAAGTCTGGCGCTGCCCGCGCCGGTGATTCAGAGATCTTTCGAGGATAGTATTGCGTGGTTCGGCTTGGGTGCGGTGTAGATCAGCACGTGCGCGGTGAGCTGTGTAGGGGCGCAGTGTCCCGCTGGCCGTCGTTCCCAACGAATGATTGTTACTGATGTCAGCATTGGAAATGAAGCGTTGGTGCACTGACGTGCAATGACATGGCTAGGTCTTCACGGATGGTTCGTGGTGGCTTCCGGGGCCGCGGCAGTGTTTTGGCCATGACGTGGCCAGTTCGTTGGCACACTTGCGCCCGTGGCGCCCCTGCCATGTTTTGGGCCAGTGTCGAGCCTGCCGCAAATGGGCGCCCCTGTCGCAGCTGGAGCAGCACACGGGTGCTCCGCGCAGCTGGGGTTTATCTGGCGCACGCGGCGAGCTCGGCGCCCGGTGTGCCCCGCGCGCCCACGTGCCTCGCGGAGCCCCCGGCAGCGACAGCACGCGTGTCGCGGGGGAGGCGCGCGAGCTTCCAGCGCTGCCGCCACTGCCCCGCTCCCCGCCGCTTCCGCCCTCCACCTCCGCGGCGTGCCCCGAAGGGGGCGCTCGCGCGGCGGACCTCCCCGACGCGCCCGCCGTCCGCCTGCGCTTCGCACGGCCGCGCCCGCATGGTGCCCCCAACAGAAGGACCAAGAGAGTGCACGGGGCCGCCGCCGCTGGGCGCCCGCGGTGCCCGAAATGGTGCCAGAGTCGATGCCCGAATCAATATGCGGTCGTCTTGGCGTGCCCGAGCCAGTGGCGTTTTGGAGGATGTCCCATGCGGCTTGTCCCTTTCCCATGCAGGCATAACATCGTTTCCACGCGGTCGCACGATTTTTTCCTCTCGGGCACATAACTGCCCATTCGGGCACATGTTGTTTCAATTGCAGTCCCATTCGGGCTCACTGTCGTTTCCATTCGGGCACATAATCGCTTTCATTCCAGTGCCGCTCGGGCGCCATATCGCTTCCACTCGGGCGCCGTCTCGTTTTCGCTCGGGCACATGATTTGGGCACCGATTCGGGCACGCAGTGTACCACTGCCAATTCCGCATGGGGCTTCCCGGAACACGAATGGCTTGCTTCGAGCGCGCTGTGCGGATGTTGGCGCACACCGCCTTCTGCCCCGAGGTCGATGATCCGCGGGAGGGGTACCGCCGCCCTGGGGTGCCGCCGTTTCGGATCACCGTGGGCGGCCACTGTTTGGGGCACCGGTGGGGGTCACTGTTGGGCTCCACGAGGGCACCGACGGTGAGCCCCAGCGGGGCTTGCGACGGTGGTCCACTGCTGGGTGCAATTCTGGGTGCGCAGAGGGGTGCCCCCCCGACGGGGGCCACCCTGGTGGCCTCTCTGGGGGCCTCCAGGGGGCCTGCCGCCGCGTTTCTCCTCGCGCGGCCCCACTGGCCCCCGCGCGCGCGCGCCATGCCAGAGCCGCGCCTGGCTGCCCGTTCTGCGCGCGAGAGCATGCCCGCGCAGTCGTCCGTCGTCCGAGTTCCAACGGTGTAGCAGCCCCCGGCCACCATGCGCACCTCCTCCTGCGACGTTCGTCACTGTTGTGGCGACGCCGGCGCCAGCGTGAGAGTCGCGCGCTGTGCCGCTTTGGCAGTTTGGAGCGCGAGCGCGAAGGCACGGTGCTGCAACGGACGAGCGTTGCAAAATCCTGTCTCCGATGCGGAAGCCATGCGGGCACAGCTCGGGCACCAGAACTCTCTTGGGCCCGCGCGCCCACGAGTGTTGGCATTGAACACAGCAGGCAGCAGGCAGCACCCCCGCCGTCCCTGTCGAATACCAATGCAAAGTAGATGCGGGGCGTCCGCGCATAGTCTAGGTTGTGGTGCAACGTCTACCCTGTATAGTTTTTTCGACAGGGCTGGGGGGGTTCTAATGATTCCGGTTTTGTGAAAGGAGAGGGTGTATATGATAAGGAGCAGTGAGCAAGACACCCTTCCTGGACGGAAGCTATGCGGTTCATGTCCACCCGCCCTCCCGAAACATAAGTCATACCAGAGTCTCAGCATCTTCAGCGGTCGTCTTTGGATGGGCACCTGCTGGGGAGCAGTGCGGACCTCAGGTGCGCGACGCTGGGGCGAGGTGCGCCACGTCGGCCCCACCATCCTTGTCGAAAACCAATGCGCTAGCGCGGCAGGGTGGCCATCATGATGTCTGGTAGACCTGCAAACAGCAGGCAATATGCCAACAAGCCCACCGTCCTTGTCAAACACCCATGCAATGTGATGGCGGGGTGCCCGTGCAGCATCCAGATTTAGCCGCGAAGTGTAGATTTGTTTTTTTTGTCGGGGAGGCGGCCCTGCGCGATGCAGGTCTGATTCTGGCACCCCCGCCGTTCCTAGACCCACCCGAGCATGACCCCAGATTTTGCCGCACAGTGCGTTTGTAGTGTTTTGACGGATGACGGGGGGGGGCTAGCATTGGCCCGGTTTTGTCGACAGTCGGGTGGATGAGTGGGTTTATATTGATACGGAGTAGGCAGAACCCGTCCCCGAAATTGAAGGAGGGTCGGAAAAAATGACGTCGCTTATGCTACCACCGCCCACACGGCTGGTGGGTTTAGATGGCTTGCGCGTTGCGCTGGCACTCGGAGTGCGTGCAAGATAGCAGCGCACTGGCGCGCGGGCGTGGCGTCCGTGCGCGCGGGCGGGCGCGCGGCGAGACGCTTCTCAGAAGCTGCTTGGGAGCTGCGCTCGAACCCAGGAGACACTGCCCGGGAACGGCTCGAGAGCCGCGCGCGAACCCGGGAGACATACCGCAGGAGCTGCTTATAGGCGCTGCCCACGGGTCGTGAAAACGCCTCCCGGGAGCCGCGCGCGAGCCCGGGAGCTGCCCAGGCGCGGCCCGCGAATCCGGGCATCGCTGCCCAGGAGATGCTGCGGACCTGTGCGCGAGCGCAGGAGACACTGCGCAGGAACTGCGCGAACGCCTGCTGCGCACGTATCTGGGAACGCGTAGGAGAGCGCTTTCTGGACAGACTGCAGCTTCCAGCAGGCTGCTGCGGCACTGCCTGACCAGCAGCCTTGGAGAGGAGACTGGCCTCGCCCAGCCTGCCGGCTTCTTTGCTAATGTTTTTCGCTTCCTTCGAGAACCGAAGTCCCTCCTTTTTCATCCTCGTTCCTCGGACTCTGTGTGGAGGAGGGATGGTGGAAGATGGAATAATTAGGAGAAAGGGGGGAATTACAAGGTGGAGTGGGGAGGATGTCGGAGCCTTCGTTTTCTTGACATGCTACCTTGTCTCGACCGTCCCCTGGGCGGTTCCGATTTCAGGACGACGTCGGTAAGTCGAAAACGACGGCGACGGCAGCAGCAACTGCGGCGTCGGCAACGACGATGGCGGCGACGGCAGCGGCACGTGCGGTAACGCAAGAGGCGGTGTCGATGGCGGCGACGGAACGGACGGCAACGTGGGAGGCGGCGGCGGCGGCGGCATGGGCTGCGACGTGTCAGCCAGAGGGGGCAAGGCTTCTTAGAAGCAGCCCTGCTTCTGAGAAGGCGCGGGCCTTCTCCATACATGTAAGTCTGGCGCCTCCTAAGCAGCAGCCCCCTTCTAAGAAGCCCTCCGCCCTCCCCCACACCCTCCCCCTGCGCGCCGCCAGATGGGCTGCGACGTGAGGGGCGGCGGCGGCGGCGGCCGCGGCGACGCAGGCGACCGCGGAGGCGCCGGGCGGCGACGACGCCGCCGCCCGGCCTGCAGGCATCTCCGCGAGGTGTGCGAGGGCTCGGGCGCAGTGGTCGTGGAGGCGCCCGCGGCCCTCGGGCGCGGGGCGGGGGGGCGAGGGGCCTCGGGCCCTCGACGGGGACGCCTGGCGTGAAGTCGGGCAGGAGGAGTGCTCCAAGCAGTCAAGAGATCATCCGGGGAGGATGTTTGGGCTACAGTCGGGGCGCTGAAGAAGGACCCCTTTTCGTTGGGGAGGGGCTCGGTGTTTCTTGATTGGTTCACAGCTTGCCTAAAGTTTTCCTTGGGCTTTCGATGGAAACCGAAGTTTCATTGATGGAAAAATGGGGCCTCGTTCCTTATTTGGGGTTCCTTAGGTCAACGCCCCGACTGTACTATTCCTGACCATTTTGGAGTATTGCTCGAGTATTGTTCTGTTTCGTCCAAGGTCCGCCTGTAGGAGGACATGCCCGGCCTCAGCCTCGGGCCTTCGACGAGGCTCCCTGGCGGAGGCGTGCAATGCCTGCCCCTGGGCTGTCCACTCCGTGTTGGCGTACGCCGGAAGGGTCAGTACCGAGGGGGGAGACAAGTGCATAAACATGCACACCTGAGACAGGAGGGGAGAAAGCCACGCAGACACGAGTAATCGTCGATTCCCAAGAGAAGATGGGAAAATATGGACACTGGGGGGGGAAGGACGAACACCTAGAAAATATCGACACATGTGGGGAATCCTGGGGTTTGTGTCTGTTTATGTGTGTGTCCCTGGGCCCCTGCAGGAAGGTCCGCGCTGGTTTGTTGGATTTGCGCTGTCCCCCCCCCCCCTGGCGGCGCTCCCCCCCCCGGTGGGCCCCAGGCGCGCTCGGCGCGCCCAGGCGGGGGGGGTCCAGCGCCGATCCAGGAAACCCGCGCGGAGCTGCGAAAGTTCATGCTTGTGTGGTTTATCGGGCCGGACGAAAGGGGGGCATTGGAAATGGGGGGTTACGAAATTTGCTGCATGCAGCTGGTTCGGCCCCGCCGAGGGGCCCATTCCTCGATACATAGTCGCCTCTGGTGCCGGGAGGCGCCGAGGAAAGTCAGCTACCCGAGCTGATTCTCAACCCCCCCTTTGCTATCCCCCCCTTTTGCCCGACCTGAGTTTATCTTCCTCAGCTGGGGCGGATAGCCCCGGGGACCATCACATCGGCAGTGCCGCAACATGCTAATACTATGTGTTCCTCGCCCCCCGGGGTGCGACGGGAGAGCCGAGGACTCTTGTAGTGCTTGCGTCGTGGCGGGCGCTTTCTGGCCACACCGCTCGGGAACTGATCTGCTACAAGATGGGTATACTATATGTTCGGGTCGGACGCGCGCCTCCGAGGTGGGCATGTAGTACCTGTGCGTCTCTGTGCTCCCACTGCATGTGTGCAGAGGCTCCGATCGCCCATCTATTCGACGTGGCTCTCCGTGAGTGCAGTCAGTCCTTGCGAACCTCGAGACTGTAGTCGCGGCGCTGAGAGCACGAACCAACAGACGCCCACCACGATAGTCAAGCTACTACCATAAGGAACGCCACATGGAACGAGGCTTTATTCGTCCCAGACGCCCCAAGGAACAGCGAGCCCCTTTCCGAACCCGATCTGTTCCTTACTTCAGCGTCCCGGCCGTGTCGCTACCAAGCGCCCACACTTCGGGGGCGGAAAAGAGGGGGGTGATGACTAGGGGGGGGTGGATATCATGGCGCGGGCCATGATATTTCCCCAGATTTCATGGCGCCTCGTCTTATTTCATTACGTCCCTGGCCCCCCCGCTGGGCCGCGCACATGCCGCCGGTCATGATTTGCACCCCCCCCTCTTGGGCACCCCCCTCTTTGCCGCTCCCGAATACTCTCCTGGCAGTCGTGACGGCGACTAGTCACGTCTGCATTGCGAAGAAGGCCTCCTCCTTCCTCCTCCCACTTTCGTCCTCATTCTCTCCTTCCCCCACCCCCCTTTCCTCATCCTGGACGGGAGGAGGGGCCCGCATCAGAGGGCTAGTGGCCAGATCATCGAACGTTCAGTTCAATCTGAGTGCCTGTCCTCCCTCGTCTCTCCCTTCTCCCCCAACGTGCCAGGCCCCGTTCTGGGCAGTGCGTTCCCGAGACCGTCTCTGGGCTTAGGACGCCAGCCTTCGGCGTAAGCCTTGGAGGCACCCCTGCGCCGAGCCCAGACCCTGTCCCGGGTTCTTCCTCCGAGCTTGGTTTCATGCTGGTAGCTGACCAAGACGAGAAGTTCTTTCGGAGCTCTGATCATGATCCTCCATGCTGGGTTGCCCAGCGGAGTACCAAGGTTGTGGATTGGCTCCAGCAAGGCAGTATCCATTTCGTTGCCTTCGATCGATCGTAGACAGACAGCACCCCGACATCCACCAGAGCACCTGCCGACCATCAATGAGCAGTCCGAGCATGACAGGACAGGACCCTTCTCTCCTGCCCCGCCCCTCCACCTTCGGCAACTTTCTGGTCTCTTTCGCGCGGGGCAGCACGCAGCATGTTCCAGAGGCCACGGCCTCCTCCACGGACTCCACCCGGCCACCTGTACGCAGGGGTGGTCGCCCGCTCGCCCGCACCGTGCCTGGGTTGCATGTCAGAGGCGTCTTGGATACCCATCGGGATCTCCTGGGAGGCCTTTCGGAAGCCTCTTGAAGGCAGTTTCAGGAAGTTTTGTGGCCTCGCGGAGGCCTCCTGGGGGCCTCACTCGAGCCTCTTGGGGGGCTTCTTGGGGCTTCTTGAGGGCCTCTCGGGGGCCTGCTGGCGGTCTCAGAGGTCACCTCGGGGCGGGCTCGAAATGTCACTGCATGTTCTCCCTCTTGGGCCGGCAGAGGGCTCGAAGTATGAGTTCGCGTCCCCCCTCTTGTGCCCCTCTCGGGGCCCTCTTGGGCCGCCTTGGCGCCTCTTGGGCCATCTTGGGGCTTTCTTATGCCGTCTTGGGCCCCTTTGGGGGGTCTATTCAGGGCCTCTTGGGCCGCCTTGCGGCAATCTTGGGGTCCTCTTTGGCCGTCTTGGAGCGTCGGATGCCGGGCAAGGTGAGAACGTAAACATCATTGACAAGCCAGAATGCACATCAGTTATTGTTGCCTCTCGGGATTTTCTCGGGGGTCTTTCGGAGCCCTCTTGGAGCGTCTTGGGGACCTTATGGGCCCTCTTGAGGCTATCGTGGGCGTGCCAGAGAGCTCACGCGACACACCCGGGGACTTCCCAGGAATTCTTGGGACTTCCCAGGCATGCGGCATGCCCGCGAAACCGGAAGTTGGGGTCCTTACGAACCTTGAAGTGATTCTCTCGAACACTGACGACAATTGACGAGCCTTGGGCTTCTCCCTCCTCCAAAGGGCCAGCTGAAGAAGAGTCGACGGACCTCGACGGTCGACGTCGTCTGGCTGGGCCCTGTCCTGGCCGCACTGGGCCCTGTCCTGGCCGCAAAGCAGCCGCACGCTGATGTTTCTGGTGGGGCCGAGGGCCGACGGAGAGCGCGCAACGCAGCCCGATCAGCCACCCAGTACGCGTCTTCCCCGACTTGCGCGTGCTGGCGCACACGAGAGCAGTGCTGGCACCCCGTTTGCTGGCACCCCGCGTGCATCATCAGTGGCCTGACCTGCACTCGCCGATTCGCGGGGGCGGTCTCCCGAACTGACTCCCTGGTCGCCGGGAGTGTTCCACCCCCCCCCTCTCTCTCTCTCTCTTTCTCTCTTTGTTCTCTCTCTCTCTCATTCTCGCTTTCAGTGTTTCTCTAGTGACGTTCCTCTCTCTCTCTCTCTCCCGCGTTCTTTTTCTTACGTCCCCCGCTTATGTCATCTCTCTGTCTGTCGCTCTCTCTCTCTCTCTGTCGTCGTGTCTTTTGCTCGCGCGTGCGTGTCTGTCTTTCTGTCTGTCTGTGTGCATATGTCCGCGTTGCTCTGGTTTTCTTCGGTTTCTCCAGGTCCGCCGAGCACGGTCGGCCTGCTCTCGCCTGGTCCCTTCTCTTCGTCCGCGCACGGTTCTCTCGCCCCGCGCGCAGGCGCTCTTGCCGCCCGCCTGCCGGTCTCCTCTTTCCTCCACCGCTCTCTCCCTCCTGCGCTGCTGGTCTCTCGTAGTTCCGTGCTCGGCTGGGTTCCTGCCGGTCTCGGCGCCGCTCCGGCGTGCCGTCTCCGCGCCTCGCCCTCTCCGGCAACCCCTGTCCTCTTCCTCCTCCTCCTCCTCCTCCTCCTCGTCCTCCTCTTCCTCCTTCTCCTCCTCTCGCTCCTCCTCCATCCTCCCTCTCTTTTTCTCTCCTGGGGCGCGACGTCTTACCCAACCCTTTTATTCACTGCGTTCTCCTCCACATCCGGGTCTCTCTGCACCTGGCGCCCAGCATCGCGGCCGCGGTTCCCCCTGCAGGCAGTCTGCCCAGGCTGCCTCTCGCTCGCGCCTGCCGGGCTGGTGCGCGCCGTCACATGACATTAGGATGCATTGGATTTGCTGTTCACGTGGCCCGTGACAGTTTGACTTGCGGCTGCCGTCCGTTACGGCGTTGGTGCATGTGCATGTGCATGTGTTTTTTTTTTTGTGTGTGTGTGTGTGTCCGCACCGTGCGGTCGTCTTTTGACAGATCTCGGTGAATGTACCGAGTCGGACGCGCTCGCTTCCGCGAACAATTGTGCGCGCGTGTGTGTGTATCCTTGTGGCTGCCTGCCTTTCTGTTTGTCAGTCGGCCTATCTGTCTGCGTTTGTGTCTCCATGTTTTTGCTGTGTGTATGTGCGTGTGAGTGCGTGCAAGCGCACTGCACATGCTGTTTCTGTGTCAGTGCATGTATGTATGCATACATGCATGCGTGTATGTATGTAAGCATATATGCATGTATGTTTGTGCATGTATGTGTGTATGTATGTATGTATGTATGTAGAGAGCTTATAGGTGTACGCATATGTGTATGTGTGTATGTATGTATGTATGCATGCATGCATGCATATATGCATGTATGTATGTATGTATGCATGCGTGTGTTTGTATGTGTGTATGTATGTATGTATGTATGTATGTATGTATGCATGTATGTATGCATGCATGCATGCATGCATGTATGTATGTATATATGTAGTGTCGTGTATACGAATTTATGTATGTATGTATGTATGGATGGATGTTTGTATGTATGTATGTATGTATATATATGTGTATATGAACGTATGTTTGTATGCATGTATGTATGTATATATAGATGGCTGTATGTATTGCTGTATGCATGTGTGTATGTATGTATGTATGCATGCATGCATGCATGCATGCATGTATCTATATACATATGTGTAGGTAGGTAGGTATATGGGTGGGTATACATGTATGTATGTATGGAGGGAGGAATGGATGGATACATGGATGTCTGCCTGTATGTGTTTATGGTTAGATCGTTTTACGTTTTGTGTATGCGAGCATGTAGACATGTGTGGATGTTTGCGTGTATGCATGTACGCGTGCATGTACGTTTCAATGTACGCATGCATGTACGCCTGAATGAATGAATGTATGTATGCATGCATGCATGCATGCATGAGTGTATGTATGTATGGATGCACGTATGTGTGTGTGTGTGTGTGTCTTTATGTTTGTCTGTTTGCCTATGTGTTTGTGCAAGCGAACGGGTTGAAACACTGTGCATTTGCCATGCTCACTTCTTTGTGGGCTCTTTGTCCATCGCGGCGGCTAGCAGGCAGAAGATGGTGGAGATTGGGTTGCCCTACTTATTGGACGGGAATGCAACTTCGTAGGCGCCGTTGCCAACCTTGGTATTGCATGCGCTTTGTGTTTGCCACCAGGACATTCATGCGCACTCGCATTTACATAGAAACATGTACACATGTCTGGGTAAGCGGTGCGCAGTGCACCATCAGGCGGACATGCGTATGAACAATACAAGCGCCCAGCCCAAGTACTTGGGTCGTCGACACGCAAGGTCATAACGATAATAGCAGTTGATTGTGCATGGCTTGAATCCAATTGTGCGCGTCTGTGCTGTGTTGACACGAGCCTGCCATCCTTCGCGCGCCTCTGATGCTCTTGGCTCCACCATGTCTGGTGCCAAGCTCGTGGCTCCCTGAACGGCTCGGGCGTTCCAGGCATGCTGGATACACCGGATGTCCAGGCGCAGCGCCAGGATCGGGGGTGGACAGAACCCCCAACAGTGACACGTCGATTAGTGAATTGTCCGTTTTCGGTTCTCGAGAGGGCGCCGTGGCCGCTATTTTCCAGGGTTGCGCCCGCCAGGTTTGGGCCTCAGGTCGTTTTCACTAAACCACGTTTTACTAAAGGGGGTTCTGTCCATCCCCGATAGGAGAGGCTGGTGGTGTAGCCTCAAGTGCTTCTTTGCTGTGCTGGTGGGCTGCGGCGGCATCCTGGTGCTGGCTGCATGCTTCGGGCTCCCCGCAGACAGCCTCGACTGGAGGGGTGCTGCTCCACACGAGCCGAGTCCTGCGTCAGACCAGCCGAGTCCTGCCATCAGAGGCGACGTCACGCCCCGCTCTGCTGTAGAGCAGGCGGTGGCAGCGGCTGTGGTATTCGGGGGCCTTGAGACGGGCGTCAATACAAGCGGGAGTCAGTCAAAGCGCCGGATCTTGCAGGATCTTGCAGGGCCAAGATCGCATCGACCCGCTTGCAGGATCCTGCAAGTCCTGACTCACCCGGGCTTGGATTGACCCGGGTCAGTAGATCCCCGAGGTACCAGTGACGATTCCCACTTTTGCCTTCAGCTCCTACAGCCAGTCGATCACGACGCCGCTCTGCAAGCCGAATTTCGACGTCTGGAGGAACAAATTTCTGGAGATGTTCTGGACGACGCTCGAGAACCACTCTGCGCGCACTGACGAGGGGTCTGCCACGCTGTCGCTGGTATGTTGCTTCCGCAGCTACCAGTACATCTATGACAGGGACTGCAACGAGTCTGATGTCGTCGACAGGGCCCAGTCTCGCTTCAATTCGCTCCCTGTGCGGTCGCCAGAGAGCCCGTATTTGGTGCTCGCATGGGGCCTCGAGGTGGACGAAGTAAAGAAGCACGCGTGGGCACACGACTTGATCCGCCAGCGGGACGACTTCTTGTACATGCACTTTGACCTCAGGGGCCACTACAAATACAACGAGGCGGCCCCGATGCTGCCAGGCATCACGATCGCTCCACCGCTATTCTGGAAGGGCCCCCAGGCGAACCTCAGCCGGCCGCCGAAGTACTTCCTGACCTTCTCGGCCACACGCAAGCGTGACCCCTTGCCTGAGTGACCTTTAGCCTGCGGCTTCCGAGGGGCGCTCCCAGGAGGAGGAGGAGGTGGCGGATGAGGAGGAACAGGAGGAGGAAGAAGAATAATGTTCATACTCAACAGAAGAAGAAACACATGGATAATAATAAACGTAATACCTCACGGGGACGAATAATACGAATAATGAAAACGAGTAACAACAATCATAACAATGAGAATAGGAAGAATAACAAGAAGAAGAGGAGGGTGAAGAGGAGGAGAAGGAGGAGGGAGGAGGGAGGAGGGAGGAGGAGGAAGGAGGGGGAAGGAGGGAGGGGAGGGAGGAGGGAGGAGGAGGAGGAAGAGGAGGAGGAGCAGGAGGAGGAGGAGGAGAGGAGGAGGCGGAGGAAGAGGAGGAGGAGGAGGAGAGGAGGAGGGAGGAGGGGGAGAGACGGGGGAGGGGGGAGGGGAGGGGTGAGGAGGAGGGAGGAGGAGGAGGAGGGAGGAGGAGGAGGAGGAGGAGGGAGGGGGAGGAGAGGGGGGGAGGAGGGAGGAGGGAGGAGGGAGTAGGATTTTGGATTGGTTTATCGCTGAAGCATACGGTTTCTCGAGACTGGGTGGCACCGCAGCTAGCATAATGTTAGTCAGACTAAAAAACTTTGCACGGGCACCAAGGACGCAAGCGCAGCAGTTCACCTCCTCCCCCGTATAGGATCCTCCCACCCTTAACTGGCACAGGTTCTTAAACCGTGGTCAGTACTGCTGTACGAATGCAAGGCACGGAGAGCAGGTGGGAGGGCCTGCAAGCGATGATGCGTATCCCCTGAGGCATTGGCCAACGGGGCGGCAGCACGAGTGTGACGCACGAGCGTGCTGTCCATCTTCGCACCCTAGCATCGAACAAGACAAGGCGAGGCGCAATTATCTTCGCATTGTCTGAGCACTGAAAGAACATAGTCTTCTCCTGCCGGAAAGCCGAGAAGTGAGCAGCAACGACATTGCACGACAACAGAGCTCGCACGTTGCTAATTCCTGTACTGCGGGGCAGTACCGACAGAGTGGCTGTACGTGCAACTCTGCCTGCGATGTCTCCCCTGAGACGTCGGACATCAAATTGACTGACAGGTCTTGGCACACGAGCATGCGGGCGATCTTCGCGTCCTCATAGCAAGCGGCAATGCGAAGTGACCGGAAGGCGATGCGAAGTTATCCACATAGGGGTGCCAAGATAGCTGCTCTTGATCACCTGTCTCCTGATCTCTTGATCTCTGACGGAGAGCAGCAGCGCATAGAGGAGGCAAACAAAGACAGAAGGGAGAGCAACAACGCAGGCGGCAACGGTGAATGTCCGTCAGCGCCTGGCTGGCGGGCAATAAATGAGAAGAAACTCGGGGTCACACGTGTGGCACGCTACGGGTGTGCCATTAAGTCCAGCTGACCTCACGTGGACCCCTGGCCGCTAGCCCGACTGGGCCGAGCGTGAGAGCCTCTTCTTGTCGTTACACCGCTGCAAGAGGGAAGGGACACTGCAACGGAGGACCTGTTCGAACTTCAAGTGCCTGTCAGGGCGGGCGGAGGGGGACTCTCTCTCAAGCGGCCATTGACAGCAATGCAAGCGTGGCAACGGAAAGTAAAGAAGCACAGATATTGCAACTCAAAACACAGGCTATTGGATGAGAGGGTGGAGGGAAGCATGCGAGGGGAGAGAGGGGGTAGGGCTCCTCGCTCCTCAACCGAACTCCACTTTACAACTACACAAACGCACGCGCATTTACAATTTGAAAATGTTGCGTCCAAGCGTGGGATCGTCCCTCCATGGCGCAATCTGTCTAAGGTGCTCCTCTCTTGTCCGCCTGGCCTTCTCTAAACGTCGCCTGCGGGCTTCGATCCGATTTGATTCGATGCGAGCACGCGTCGCCGGTGACAACTGGATAGGGGTCGGTGGCGGACGCTCTGTCGGTGGCTCCTCGAGAAAAGCGACGACGTCTGCTATGGCTTGCTCCTCGTGAGCCTCCTGTGGGCCCCCTGGACGTGGCACCGCCTCTGGGTCAAAAACTAGACCTTCGGACTGCTGTTCACTTGGTGGGGCCTCGGGCGACAACAAAAGGGGCAACGTTCAGGATCGGCCCTATCATGGCCTCTCCTTGCCTTGGCCGAAACAAAATCTGGTGCCCAATCTTCGTCCAAACCTAGGTATGGGTCCCATTCAACGTAGAAGCGAATTAACTCGGCCCAGAGCTTTTCCTCATCTTCTTGCATGTCAAGGGAAAGGTCGCGTCGGCACACGTCGCATACATATGGTTTATGCAATCCACCGTCGCGTCAGCCAAGGTCCGACATAAACCCTCTGGATAGGTCTTCTTCTTAGCAGTGCGCAATTCATTCCGTGTCCTATCGGACCCCACGAGGACCTCATGAGCCCCGCGTCCATGAGGGCATGTCCCACGGCCTGGTGTCTCTAGTAGTCGGCCTGATAGCGTCGCCATGCGTAGTGCAAGAATCCGCGCTGGTGCTTGGGCCTGCTGGCCGTGTCCACGCTGGTCAAAGTCAGCGGTGGTTGCTGACGGAGCCGCCATCACAGCCCGTAGAGGTGCACATAGAAAAATGAGTTGACTGCAGCATGGCGCCAGCGGGCGGATGCGCCCACCTGCATGCGAACACCAAGAATCAGAGCGTGAATTACCTACCCCGCTTTCGCTTCCAGGCGAAACCAAGTCATACCACGCGCCGCCTCGTCAAGCGGCCTGACCAGTACAGGCCGTAGTTTGGCATTGCTTGGTATCTCTTGGAAGCGAGGGTGGTCAAAAGCGAGGTAGGTGTGTGTTCCCCTCAAAGAAGCTCAGCCATGGCTCCGAGCAGGCCGTTCCCAGCCCGAAGTGGCCCTTGCCGTCGGGGGGGCCACGGCCGGCAGTCCCCCGGAGTCATCGCGGGGCCTCAGGGGCGCGGGCCCGTGGTCCGGGGCCCATCGGATGGCTGACCAGGTCTCGCACGGTGGCCCTCCGCTTGATGAAGCGATTTGTTTTGCACCTACACCTTAGGCGATGCTTAAGAAAGCTTAAATTTTCGGCCAGAGTCTCGATTATTCTTAATGTTTCAAGGTAAATCCTAAGGTTTGAATGGAAATTTTGGGTTTTTATTCAAGTTCTGAGACTCTGAATTTCTTAACCCACGATTTCTTAAGCATTTCGCAGGGTGTACATGTTCTTCCCAAACCTCAGGGGTGTCATGCGCCATCACGCTGCCTGACACTGGGCCAATCGCGATACCAATCGACAAGACAATGACTGCAACATCTAATGCGTAGTGTGTCCGCTCTAGACATGCCTGAATGTCTCCCGGCCTTCTACGTCCACAGTGCAAATTCAGCGCGAAATGTAATGTCCGTCGGATGGCACTAGGCAGCGCCTGTGCCGACGCACCAGCGTACTGGCTCGCAAGGAACATTCGTGTAGGATAGCGCTCAACCTGTGGCGGGTGCCAGGGAGAAATGCCCTCTTGGCCGTGGTGTGCTGGTTCGTCCTGAGCTGGCAGTAGTATTGGCAACGCTTCGGCGGTGAGGTAAGGGTCGCACTGATCAAGTACTGCCCTTGTCTCTTCTTGTGTCATTTGTTCCAGACACTCCGTAGCGATCTTGGCGAGCGGGCCAGCTGCTTTGCACGTGGGTACGACTGCGTGCCTTCTTGGCACACATACCTTGCTTGTCGTTGCTGCTGGCGCGTGCATTGTGGGCTGTAGGGCGAGGCAGTGGGCTGGATTGTCGTATGATTCAATGGCAGCCACGAGGCAACGTGGGGAGTCTGTTTCTAGATGGTCGACTAGGTGCGTGCGCGTGTGGAAGATGGAAAAGCATGTAGCACAGCAGCCCGTCGTCGAGGCATATTTCTTGGCCATGATATTGAGCTGGTGGCGGGTGCGACTGATATGCGCGCGCAGCGCACGCATTCTTGAGAAAACTGCTCCACGCCACGGGCAGTGGATCTGAAAAACGGGTGGTGGTGCAGGTGGGGTAGGTAATGATCCGCGTTCGTCCGTGTATATGCGGTTCGGTACCCCTGCATCCGTAGCTGCATCAAAGATATTATTTTCCATGTGCGCGGCCAGAAGGACCAGGGAGTGATGACGTGCTGCAGTTTGGAGCCCTGCGCGGATACGCTGTTTCCATGTGGCGGCACTGTGTAGGATGTATTGTTCCCAAGCTGCAAGGTCGTCCGTTGGCGCAGGTAGGCTAGCGCATGGTAGCCATGCTCTGTGCAACCACGTCATGTCCTCAATGAACTATCCGAGTGTGGTGTGATCCTGCATGTGCTGTCGATCTGTCGCATCGTGCCATTCTGCCGCCATGAGTGCAAACGCAAGTGTCGGACCGACGTGCAGCAGTGACCCGAATGGCCGCAAGCGTGCAGCACGTAGTAACATAGCGGGCGTAGGTTTGCGCGGCCGTGCAAGAACTAGTGCATCAGACACCTGCGACTGCGATTCCTGAAAACGTACGCGTGCTGCTGCTCTGTGCGCTTTTATGACCTCACCGCGTAGAAGCCTGGCTTCAGCTGTAGTGAGCCGTGTCCATGCGCCTGCATCGTACATTCTCCCTGAGAGTACTAGACTGTCTGCTAATGTCATGCGTACCTGTGGGTGTACCGCGTTAGTCTTTGAAGACTCGTCTTCGCAAAACTTGAGGCGAAACAACGGTAGATGTGGCACGGTACTTGATCTCCGGAATGAGCGAACCGGTGGCGTCAATAACCGAATCAAGATGCACGTAGTGATGCGCAATAGGGGCACTAAACTCCCCAAGCATGCCTGACGTGCGCTGCATGCGTCCACCATGCTCGTGCCATGCGGCGTGCCGTGCGCGCTTCATGCCATGTCCTTTCCACATGATCATCGCTGCTGTCTTCGCTGTGCCAACATTTGGCTTGTGCCCACGCTTCGCAAAGGCATCCGTCACAATTCCCAATGCTAACGACAAAGTTGGATGTATGTGCAAAGCAGGTAGTATGACAATTTTTGCACCGTCATCTGCATACAACACATCCACA